GTTCACCAATGTGCTCTCCCGGATGTCTGTATTCCGGACCATGTCGAAACGCGTAAGGCCAACGATTCGTCTAAGAAAACCCATTTCAGCAGCTTGTACCCGGGTTCGAAGTTTTTCAGTGATAGTCCACAATTCATGACCGTTGGTAAGCATGGGGATAAAGCTCGATTTGAACACCGAGAGCTTAGTTTTCAGACATAGCTCTGCTTCAGTCACAATGGGTCAGACTAGTTCACCCCGAACGCCACTAGCTACTCCAATTCGTAGGTCAGTATCTTCCTCAGATTTTCCATAACTGATAAATACGACTCCGAGGTACTTGAACTTCTCCACCTGCTTTAGGACTTCTCCCTTAATCTAAAGAGAGCAACGGACAGGAGAACGAGAAAGCACTAGGCATTAGGTGCGTTCACGCGCATGCCGGTCACGTCACATTCAGCTGCCAACCTTTCTGTGGAGCCCTGCAGATCATTTTCAGAGGATGCCACTAAAACAAAGTCGTCTGCCAACAGTATCCTTCTCTTCTCAACATCTCCTGCATCGACTGACTCCTCGCCCGGGCTGCACTTGATTATTCTACCTATGCACAGCACAAACAACAGAGCGGACAAGACACAACCTTGGCGGAACCAGTGCCAAGTTAAAGGGTTTCGACTTAGTGCTATTTACTCTGACGCAGCACCTGCTATCATAATACAGTGATTGGATGCCCTTGATAGCTGGCCATCTGTCCCATATGCTCGAAGGCACGATCAGACTGTTGCGTGGGATCCGCTCATATGCATTTTGTTGGTCAATAAAACATTTACACTGGCACGATTGTACCGGTACTGTCACGATTTCGCAACAATCTGCGCAAGATAAATATATGACCAGAGTTGCTTCGATTGTGACGGAAGCTACACTGCTCTTATATCTTGGAGTCAGTTATTCTGCGCCACCTTCTTTCTAGCACATTTGCGTAGACTTTACCTGGGAGGCTCAATAAGGTAATGCCGCATTAGCTGGAGCACTGTGTGTTGTCTCCCTTCTTCAATAACGGTACAACAGCGCCCGTTCTGCAGTTCCCTGGGGTCTTCCATAGTCATGGCAGTTTGGACATGATAGCCAACACACGCCTTGTTCGCCACAAGCTTTGAACATTTCAGAGAGGGTTTCATTAATTCCACAAGCCTTTCCACATTTCAAGCTTTACGCAGCCTGTATAATTTCATCTACAAAGAGAGAGCGAGTAATATCCGTTCCCTGCTACTCTAGAAGCGATTCTTCTCGCAGTTGCTTAGGGCTCAGGAGTGCCGCAAAGTACTCTCTCCATCGCCGAAGGTTGTGAGAGGGTATCCAGACCCGTCGTTCCAGACTTTCAGACTCCTTTTCACCTTCGATTCCACCACCTCACCAAACCTCTCCCAGGGATCAGTTTTGGCTTTCGCCACTGCTTTCGCTGCCGTTTTCCGTGCCAACACATCGCACACGAGTAGAATTTCCATTTGTTTCCAATCCATTTCTAGGACGCTGTTTTCTTGTCTTTAACTGCCAGTTGTACCATGAAGATTTGATCTCCAAGCGGCGAGTGAACCTGTCTATATCCGCAGCATTCAGCGGCAGCCTCGAGTATGCCGCTCTTAAAGCGCTGCCACTCGGTTTCAACACCAGTTGTCATCGCTGGGATTTGTTTAAACCGTCGTGCGATGTTGTTTGC